ACCTTGGATACATTAACAAAGATATCCAGCGCAAGCTTTATCAGACCCATATGTGCCAGACTGCGGTTTGACTCTCGAACGACTTTGAAAATCACGCAGAGTGCATTGTCCAGCACGAGCTGTTCAGTACATTTGTGAGATAGCCGGGTTGCGACCTCTGTGAAGGAGAAGAAATGAAATATTTAAGGAATTTTGTCTTAATATATTATATTAAGACAAAAAAATTCGTGCTCAATGTCCATCGTATGGACGTAAACAACAAAATGCATCTCTTACCAAGATGAACAAATGCTTCGCGGACGGTAGTAAGGTTTTTACATTTCAAAAGATAGTCCAAAGCGGATCTTGTACGATTACAAAGCTTCATAGGTTCGGTAACGTTGGAATTGGCCACTAATATTCGCTGCCTCACTTTTTTGAATTTAGCCGTATTGAAACGTTTTCTTACGCTGTAACCTCGCCAAGCACACTGTTTTGAAAAACGGAAAATACACAGTTTTAGTTAGTATTTGTAGATGCAAGTCAGGGTGAGATGTCACCAAAAGTAATTTCAATAAGATTGGATATCTCTATCAGTTCAAAACTATTCTGCCTATAGAGGTCCAGTAAAGGGTCTTTGTTTGCAATGATGTAATTTTAGGATTTCAGTTGACGGGCAGGTATAACAAAAAACAGTTATTTTATATTGATCGAGTTTATATCGTTAGTTTAATTAACGCCTGTATTCTAAAAGCTTGCTCACACTCAAAGAGTGGAGGTTCAATCTGAGCTTGCCTTGAGTGTCAGTGCAGTTTTTGAATAGCTGGAGGGTTAGTGTCATAGCTTACCATATCTACTCGCCCTCCAGCTATTCAAAAACTGTACTGACACTCAAGCAAGCTCAGATTGAACCTCCACTCTTTGAGTGTGAGCGTGATTGAACTTTTAGAATGCAGGCGTAAGACTCAAAAGATGAATTATCGTTCCGTTTTTCTTGCTACAACCATTCTGACTGGAGAAAAATCATCCACAAGTTGTTTGATTGCCCGTCATTTGGATGAAAAGTCACGTGATTGCAAACCAAGAATTACAGGAGGAAACCTAAAGTGAACCAACTTTATTTCTACTGGATAGCTCTCAGTTATTTCAAAACTGTTTTCTCTAGAGCACCTTATATTGATCTAGTGTTATTACAAAAGGAATCTCGAATACTCAGAGAAAATGAAAAATGCATGCGCTATCAAATGTACCACCAGCTCAAACAAACCTGTATAATAAGAATTGCTTCTTTTCGTCTTTCCGCAGTTCGTTTGGCGAGAAACGATCGTACCACAGCTTGAATCTTGGCCGCTGATTGGTGCTTTACAGCAAGACGTGCACGCCATTGCCGCTGGACGAGGCAGACAAGATGTCGTGTTCTCAGGTAGGATAATCGTTGCAGTTTAGCTCGCCACCATCGCTAGAAGTCAATCAAATAAATATATTTTGAGCAAACAAATAGTTTTCAATGCGAATTCAGTGCAATTCTGTACACCAGCATGGTGGCTAAAAGCAAGTGCTCCAGTAAAGCAGAATTTGAATGTAGTTAAGGTTCGGATAAGCCATCACTTCTATCTAATCCAGCATTTAATCTTGGAATCTTGCCTGCATCTAGCTCTTCCTTGACTTGTCCTTGTTTAAATTTTGTTATTGTTGTAAATATTATTACTACTCTGTTCTATTATAATGTTATTTTCATACCAATTGCAATTTCCATACTATTAGAACTTAATTGACCCTTGGGTATAAAACATGTAAATTAACGTAACACTAGTGGAGTACCTGTAGAAATATGAGTCGATCCATTTTAGCTTTGAACAACGCGATTGCTCTTGCTTTACGATATGAACGTTGTAGACGTACGACCATCAGGTTAACATAAGTCGCTGCCGAGAATCGTAACAATCTGGCCGCTTTCTCTGCTTGTAATTTCTAAGAATATAAGATGAAAAAGTCAATTGTAATTTTATTAATATTTTAGGGTAAAAACACAAAGAAAACCATGACCTTGAAGGAGTTTGTATGTCTGGGGACGGTTGTATAAAAAAGTAGTTAAACGTAATTGTAGTTTGCGGAAAAGTTAACCAATCAGAATCGCATATTTTAGAGTTATTATTTAAGTACGAAACGTAGTTAATCAAGAGTTTTATACAACCGCCCCCCAAAATCCTGCAGGCATAGTCTATTAAGATATGATAGTCTGGAATCGCGGCTACAAAATAGAAGACCTTTGTTTGATGTGAACTTGTACCTCACTGTGCACAAAATCCTTTGTCTCAACTTCATTAAATATTATCGTGGCTGCACGTTTCATCTCATCTATCCTTATTGGACGGTTACTTAATTATGCAAAAAAACAATGAGCTCAATCACCGTGACCGTGCACAAATTAACATAAACGCAGACAAAAACATATAACAAACATTTCTGTTTAGTTTTCAGACCATCATATCTTAATAGACTATGCTGCAGGTTTACATAACTTGTCAGTTTCCTGTTACTGGATAGCCAAACTTCTATACATAGCTTTAGAGGGTGAGGGAAGGGGTGCAACTACATAATCAAGTTGTACGATGAACCATATAACCAACCTTGACCAACACTCTTGCTTGGCAACCTCTCACATAAGCCTGGATAGTTCGAGCTGCTCGTTCCCGCTTGAACTGCTGTCGTGCTACGTTTCCACGGTAACAAGCCTGCATAGTAATCACTGCTTTCCTTATGAGTACAAACTGAGCACGGACACGGTGACCTTCTAAGCATGCGCGATACCGTCTCTGAATAACTCGAGCCGATTTAATTCGTCGGACATTTTCCCGCGCTTTTAACCCACGCCATAATGCTTGAAGATGAATAATCTTTTGACGTGTTTCAAAGTATTCAGCTTTCGCTTCTCGACCAAGTTGATTAGCTTTTGCTCTTCTCTGTAGCGTAATGGTGGTATTTCTGAGTTCTCTATACTGCCTCTGTTCCCATTTCATACGTTGAAGAGATTGAACATAAACTGTAGCTTTACGAAGGCTGAGATACCGACGTCTTGCGGTATAGCGTCTATAAGCTGCTTGAATAATTATGCTGGCTTGAATACGTTTTACAAACTGTCTGGCGCTGTGCCCTCGGAAGTGGCTCTGAAATAAGTAATTTAGAGTTTGTTCAAGACTTCTGAAGTATTTTAAAAATAGATGCAACATGCAAAAGGCTCTGGGGCTGGTTGTATATAAAAACGTGGTTAAAGTTACCTATATAGTTAGCGCTTACTATCGTAGTTAATAAAAAACGTAGTTAGTCGGATCGTTAACTAATCACGTAGGGCTCGCATGGAGTGCTTAGACACAATATTACACAAAGTAAATGCTGATTAACAACCGCTGACAAGCATTTTGAACGTGATTGTGGACTCGCATTTTGCAAATAGGCGGGAATTTGATTCAAAATATTGAAGGATAGACAAGAAATCATAAATTCAAAGACGAAGGCAGTTTTTCTGTGAGATGTCTGAACCAAAGTGTAGCTGTTTGGCAAATATACATCTGTGTTTCTTCGTGTAATGGGTCCTACTTCGTCTTCGAAAGATCTGAAATCCTGTGCAAAAATATATTCTGTTTTCGCCAAATAACCAAAGCGATAGCGTTTGAAGAGTTTATAACTGTCAGGAAACTTTCACAGGGAAGATAGCGATAGAAAATCCCAGGTAAGCGTTGCTTTTCATTATTGTCTTCGTGCAAATATTGTTCACTCCAAACTGAAGTGGCGTTTTCAACTACGTTTTAAGAAGTTAACGATACGCTTGGGCTATGCCCAAGTTGGGCATACTGTAGTAACCTTTAACTACCTTTTAACTGCAGTTTACGCCAACTACATTTTTATGCAAATCACAACCGACTTAACTACGTGGTTAAAGTTACAGAGTAACAACTATTTAACTACAAAACGGATAGTTAAAAAGTAGTGAAGAGTTTTATACAACCAGCCTCTGAGAGATGGCCACTCAGCACTCTATAGTCTAGAACGAATGTGTTATGTTTTCTCCCAGGGGCTACTCCACAGAGAATGTTGACAAGGTGGGTGCATACAAAGTAGATTCATGTCTCTACCAGCATCAGTTCAAGATTTTCAAAAATACATATAGTGTTTAAATAGCCAATTATTCAAATTGTCTAGTCCAGTTTGCAATACTTTTTATGCACAAAATATGTTGTGCTTCTCGACACCTTTCAACGAACTCGTAATTATTACAAGAAAAAGACAAGAACTTATACTTCCACCTCCACACGCAGGCTACCTCCCACATAATGTTTGGTTATATAAAACCCAAGCTCTTAAACTGCAAAAAGGTAATTATCCAGCAAATATAACCCTATCACAAGATGCTCTTGCTGATTTACAGTGGTGGATATCCAATATTGAGACATCCTCCAAACCTGTTTCTTTTTTTTCTTCTTATTTTATATTGTATATTATAATTTAAAATGGCCTTACCTGAATGATAACTATGGCATTCTTTATCACATGATAACGGCAGAGTACTTCTCTTCCCAATGTGTAAGCACGATAGCGTCTCTGAATACAAAGAGCCGCCAACTTCATCTCACTATATTTCTTTCTCTGTTGATACCCTCTTACGAAAGCTTGTATTGTCGTAGTCGCACTCCTGAGTCGTCGATATTCCCGTCTTTCTCGAGTACCTCGCACCCAACTTTGAATCAAGATAGCACATCTTCTCTTGGTTAAGAACAACTCTCTTTCTATCATCCCGAGCATTCTCGCTCTTTCCCGCCGCTGGATGACAACAGTAGCCTTGCGCAGTTTCTCATACGCATAATACGCGCGTTTTCCACGAACGTGCGCTTGAACTATGGTAGCTGCGTGTTTTAGTTGAAGATACCGTGTTCGTTGTTGGTAACTTCGTGTTACACTCTGAATCAGTACAGCACTTCTTCGTTGTTGGTGGAACTCCTCTCTTTGAAGCTTTCCCAAAACTCTCCCTCTTTCTCTACGTTGGATAATAATAGCAGCCGCGCGCATGCTCTGGTATGAATCTCGTGCGTGTTTTTGTCGAATACGCGCTTGAATTACGATGGTTGCGTGCCGAAGTTTGCAGTAACGTGTTCGTTGTTGGTGTCCTCTAACCAAGCTTTGAATAAAAATGACACTCTTTCGTTTCTGAAGATATTCTCCCCGTTTCTGTTTTCCTATAACCCGTGCTCGTTCTCTTCGTTGTAAAACGATTGCAGCTGCACGCAACTTTTCGAAATGGTTTCGTGTTGCTTTTCCACGAACGTGAGCTTGCATAGTGATAACTGCGTGTCGGAGTTCTAAATAACGTGTCCGTTGCTGCTGACTTCGAACAATGCTCTGTATTAGTACTATACCCCTTCGTTGTTTAAGGAATGTTCCTCGTTGTATTTTCCCAATAATGCGTGCCCTTTCTCTACACTGTAAGATAATGGCAGCCTTTCGTGTTCTTGCAAACGCTATTCGTTCACGTTTGCCTCGTGCTAACGCTTGGAGTTGAACGACAGCATTCTTCTTTTCCAAGAAACGTGTCCTTTCACGCTTACCACGGAATCGACTGTGAAGCAAAACAGTGTACTTCTTTAGCACCAAGAATGAACTTCTTTGAATCAAACCTAGTGTTCTAGCTCTTTCTCTAGTTTGTATTACTATGGCAGCTTTACGGAGTTGTAGGTATGCTTTACGTGCAATGTTTCCGCGTACTAAACTCTGGACTTTTATTACAGCCTGCCTAAGTTTTTGGTATCGAGTCCTTTCCGTATAACCTCGGTAAAAGCTTTGAATTACCACCGCACTGCTCTTTTGTGTCAAGAAAATCCTCCTTTGTAAGAGTCCTTGCGTGCAAGCTCGTTGGCGTCTTTGTACGACCACTGCTGCTGCACGAAGTTTCTTATATTTATGGCACGTTTGTTTCCCGCGTGTTAAAGCTTGCATTTTGATTGTAACGACTTTCAGTGACGCATACTCAGAGCGTCGTTGGTAGCCACGATAGTACGATTGGATTACGATTGCGGCACGAAGTCTAGCGACTTGCACCCGAGCTTGGTAACCGCGGTAGGCGGCTTGTAGGAGGATTGTTGAACTTTTGAGATTGAGGTACTGTTGTCGGATTGATTCTGCCAACTGGTTTGTACGGAAGCGCCGTTGAAGAAGTAGAGCAGCATTTCTTAAAGTGGAAACACTCTCAAGCATTTTCCTAACCAGCCGACGTTGACGATAGAAGCGATAGCAATGTTGAATCATGAAGCAAGAACCTTTCATTTCCAAAAACAAATCTCTCTCTTTCCTACACAACACGTTTGCTCTGAACCGCGTTTGAACTCTGACTGCAGCTTCTTGAAGAACCAGATATCTCCGCCGACAAGCCCACATACATACGAGACTCTGTAATCGTATAATACACCGTCTTTGATGCGTATACCTCTCACGAGCCACACACATCCTCCACCAACTTTGAATACAGGTTGCCGCACGGTATTCCCACACTTCGCGACGGGCGAACCAACCACGTGTGAAAGACTGAATAGTGACCACAGCTCTATGTATCTCAAGATACTCATGACGTTGCTCTTTAGCGCAAACCGTTGCTCTGTAGTGAACTTGAATAATTTTGGCAGCTTTGCGTAACTGTTCGTATCTTCTCCGGCAGATCCACGCTCTGATATTGGCTTGAACAGTTATACAGGCACCTCGTTGTAAATGATACAGCTTTCTTACAGTACAGCCTTGGGCATAAGCTCGATAGTGTTCCTGGATAGTCAAAGCAGCTTCACGCTTTCGTAAATAGTTATTCCGTGCTTGGATTCTACGAACTGCTGATTGGAGTAATACAATTCTCCTACGCGATTCTTGGAAATATTTCCTGGCTATAAAACCACGAACTTGCGATTGCAAGTATAAGACGGAATACCTTAGACTCTGGTATTCGGTCTTTATTTGTCGGCACAGCATCGTAGCCCGTCGTTGCCGTTGAATCACAAGGGCGCTCCGATGGATCTTCAAGTACTGCTGACGTATGAAATATCTTCTGAACGAGGCCTGGATTCTAGTTGCCGCTTTATTCATGACCTCTAATTCCTTGCGCACGCGATAACCTCGTACAGCGGCTTGTAGTGTGATCACGGCATCACGCGTGGTTTGGTAGATTTTTGTCTGACGTCTGCATAGTTGATTAGCTCGTACCAGCCTCTGGAGGTGGACAACCGTGTTTTTCAAGTTCTCATACTTTCTCTTTGAGACCAACATACGGAAGCGAGCTTGTAGTTTTATAGTAGCACACCTTGTTTTCTGATAAGAATTCTTCTGGACCATACCTCGCCAACGTGATTGAATCTTGATTGCAGCTCTTTCCCTCTTCACTTCCGTACGTGCACGAAAACCTCTAGCGAAAGCCTGGATGGTGATAACACTGCCTCGTATGCAATGATACTCTTCCCTTGCCTTACGGGAACACAGCACTGCACGCCATCTCGTTTGAAGCACCATAGCAGCTTGTTTTTGCCGATGGTATTGCTTGACACATATTGCTCGACGGAGCGCACTTTGCAGGCGGATGACACATTGTCGTTTCAGGAGGTAATCTTCGCGGGTGGCCCGTGAAATGCGGGTTGCTCGGAATCGATTCTGAATGTTTAGAGCAACCACACGTAAAGCTGAATATGCTTTCTGTTGACGGCATCGTTTGACGTTTGCTTGAATTTTAACAGCCGCTTGGGTCATTCTACTCACTTCTTTCCGCACAGCCATTCCACGTGCGTATTTCTGAATCACAACGACAGCATCACGTGTTCGCCTATACTCCAATGCTACTTGACGTCCTAGACTCCATGCTCGATAGTGCTGCTGGATTATGAACACACAATGCTTTAAGTGAAGATGCCTCGCTCGAGCGGAGTAGCATCGGTAAGCGGCCTGGATACGAGTAGCGGCTACAGTCATTCTACTCACTTCTTTCCGCACAGCCATTCCACGTGCGTATTTCTGAATCACAACGACAGCATCACGTGTTCGTCTATACTCCAATGCTACTTGACGTCCTAGACTCCATGCTCGATACTGCTGCTGGACTATGAACACACAATGCTTTAAGTGAAGATGCCTCGCTCGTGCGGAGTAGCATCGGTAAGCGGCCTGGATACGAGTAGCAGCTATAGTCATTCTACTCACTTCTTTCCGCACAGCCATTCCACGTGCGTATTTCTGAATCACAACAGCAGCGTCACGTGTTCGCCTATACTCCAATGCTACTTGACGTCCTAGACTCCATGCTCGATAGTGCTGCTGGATTATGAACACACAATGCTTTAAGTGAAGATGCCTCGCTCGAGCGGAGTAGCATCGGTAAGCGGCCTGGATACGAGTAGCGGCTACAGTCATTCTACTCACTTCTTTCCGCACAGCCATTCCACGTGCGTATTTCTGAATCACAACGACAGCATCACGTGTTCGTCTATACTCCAATGCTACTTGACGTCCTAGACTCCATGCTCGATACTGCTGCTGGACTATGAACACACAATGCTTTAAGTGAAGATGCCTCGCTCGTGCAGAGTAGCATCGGTAAGCGGCCTGGATACGAGTAGCAGCTATAGTCATTCTACTCACTTCTTTCCGCACAGCCATTCCGCGTGTGTATTTCTGAATCACAACAGCAGCATCACGTGTTCGCCTATACTCCAATGCTACTTGACGTCCTAGACTCCATGCTCGATACTGCTGCTGGATTATGAACACACAATGCTTTAAGTGAAGATGCCTCGCTCGTGCGGAGTAGCACCGGTAAGCGGCCTGGATACGAGTAGCGGCTGTAGTCATACGTTTCAATTCTTGCCTTACACGATGACCTCGTAGTGCAGCCTGGAGTGTTATAATTGCGCTTCGTGTTGTAAGATAAGCCTGACACTGGTTACGCATCTGTTTCATAGCACGGTAACGGACTTGTAACGTAATCACTGCTGATTTTCTTCGTAAATATCGTTTTCTCGTAAGGCACCCACGAATCCTGGCTTGTGCTGAAACAATTGCTGCCTTTTGCTGTTTGAACTGCAAACGAGTTGTTCTTCCTCGCCACAAAGCTTGCAAATAAATTGCAGCTTTTTTCATCTTTTTATAGTCTTCGGCAGTTTTCTTCATCAGCAGATATGCTCTGAAATATCTCTGTATTACACAACAAGCATTCTCTCTTCTCTTCATTTCCTTTCGGACTATAAAACCTCTAACACACGCTTGGGTTAAAATCACTGCTTTTTTCCTTGCAAGGTACTGTTTGCGAGCAACATGTTTCCTGTAATATGATTGGATGACAACAGCATTTGTTTTAAGCTGACGGTATGCCTTCCTTTCAACGACGCCTTGTCTATAAGCTTTCCACCTTCGCTGAATCACAACAGCAGCACAGACGAGCTCCAAGTATCGTTTCTTCGCAATATCTCTTCGCACTTTAGCTTGTAGTTTTGTGATTAAATTTTTACTCCTCAAAAATTCTTGCCGACAACGCCACATTTTCACAGACTTCTGTATAACGATAGCGGCTTTTAATCTTTTCACTTCCCGTCTAGTAAAGTTTCCTCTACAAATCGCTTGCAAACTCGTTACAACTTGTTTCAAATTGAGAAAATCTCTTCTAGTTTCTACAGTTAGTAATTTAGCTCTGTATCGACGCTGTATAACCACAGAAGCCGTTTTAAGCCTTTGATAACGACGTTTTGCTAAAAACTTTCTCACTTCGGCTTCGAGAACAACAGCGGCCTGTTTTCGCGCCAACAATTCCCGTCTAGCCATGTAACCACGCAAGTGTGACTGTATCACTCGAGCAGCTTTAATCCTCCATACATGACGTCTTGCGATCTTTCCACGATATAGCGACTGTACTCTTAAGGTGGCTCGTTTGAGGTTGGTAAACTCGTGCCGAGTCTCCTGCGTGATACGGTAGGAGCGATAGTATGATTGAATCACTGCGGCTGCGTGTTGGCGATGAAGCAGGTCGCGTCGAGCTTGGTAACCGCGTACGTAAGCTTGGATGATTATAGTTGAACGTAAGATGATTTGTTGCCGTTGTTTTTCCAAAAACCTCCTGACACATTTCTAAAAATAATTTGAAAAAATGCAATAAAAGAACAAGATGTGGAGTGGTAGACAATACAGAAAAGACTGAGATGGTTTGCAGACGTGCAGTATAAAGAAGATACAAAGGAGAGAGACATTACGGAATGAAGAGATCAGAAGATGTGTCGTGGTACATATTGCAGAGAAGGTGAGGAAAGCAAGGCTGAGATGCTACGGGACTCATGGTAAGAAGAGATAAGGCCAGTGAGAAAGTCAGAGACATTATGAAATGAAGATTCTGGCTGAATGCTCACCTGAATAACAGAAGCTGCTCGGTTCATTCTCTGAAAAATATAAACAAAAAAAATCTTGAACATCGCAATTGTAGAAAGGACGTCAAAAACAAAGTAAATCAACGTGTATAAAGGTGTATTTTACCTTAATTTCCTTGGCTTGTTTTTCTTCACGATATTTCCTCCATGCCAACTGAACGATTCTTGCCGCACGACCTTCCAATCTCAAGTCCAATAATCGCGCACACAGATAGGAAGTATATGTGATGATCACCTACGAATCATAACAAATTCAACATACAAAAATGAAAATTTGGTTTATGGCATGCAATTGCCTTTAATATTGATAGCAGTCATTCTCAGGAATAATGTTGCAAAGAGACATATCCAGTCTAGTGTATTAATCAGGTATGGTATACGGTAGCCAAATTGCAACCACCATCGCTGTACTGTTCAAACTATGACAATTCATCAAGAATGTTTAATACTACACCTTTTCATCCGGTATTGTGCAGGACAAATCTGTGAATCTCAGCATAGAGGGAACACCTCCTAACTCCTTGACCTAAAGGATATTACGAAAAAGGATTCTCATGTTGGATCTTTCTCTCTTGATCAGCATTAAGCATAACTTATATGGTGACAAATACCCATACCTTCTCGCGTAGCAATTCATGATTTCTTCTTTCATTGTCTTTAAGTTGGCTAAGCTTTGGACTTGATTCACCTTTCAAAAAATTAATTTAGTGATATTCAAAGAGAGTTGTCAAGAAGAGTTCTAAAAAAGATCATGCTTTTCCAACTCTATGATGAAGAGTTACTATATTCCACAACCTTGTTCGCTTGCTTATAAATTATTTATTTATTATTAAAAATCTTATTTTACAACGGTTATCCTTCAACACGCCTAGGTTATTGATTTCCAAGGAGCCGTTCACACTATAGTAATCTATATTTACAAATGGAAGCAATACATAATAATTCATGTACATAATGTTAAAGTTATAAAGATATCACACATTAACTAAACACCTATTACTAGTTATAAAAGATATAAAACCATGCAAAACTGACTGGCCTTAGTTACATTTACATTTAATGTTTAATACGATCAAGCGCAGTCTTAAATTGCCTAATTAGTAATTGTGGCATCACTTGTTTTTACACATCTCGGTAAATTATTCCATGTTTTAGCACCATTATAGCTAATGCTTTTTTTTCATAAAATTTGTTTTAGGCTTTTGTAGAGTAAACTCATTTCCGTTGCTACGTAAATTATAATTAATGTTCAGTTATTTTTAATTTCAAACAAGTTCATCAAATTCTCTGGTAATTCATTTCTCTTCACTTTGTACATAAATACTAAACTATTTTTTCCCAGTGATCAACTAGGGGTTTCCAATCCAGTTTGAAGGTGTCTCTAAGCAATCATAAGCCTAAACCACTTTCAAGAAATGTTTTCCAGTGAAGTTACAAACAACTCACACAGCTAGATATGATTAACAAAACAGGTTTCACTCATAGATACTGCCAGCGTTCTGCCTTTATTGCTGTTCTTTGGTCAGTACTAAAACAGGAAATGGCAGCTTGAGCCAATTCCCGGCCGGCGCCTTATGAACTTCCAAATACATAAATATATATCAACATATATATTAAAATGAAATACCTTGATCAAGAGCCATACTGTCGTCATTGGCGTTCAAACTATCATCATCGATGCTGTCCTCTTCTGTTGTGTAAGGATTACATGTCTGTGTTGTCTCTTGACAGATCTCTTCTTCTCTTAGTAAGCATGGGTGGTAGTAATGTAGAAGGTAACACATCACACGACCATCTGACATTGACACTGTAAAGTTGTCAACCTATGTAATGACGACATCAACAAAAAGCAGAGTAAAGAATTACACAGTCAATACATGATAAAAGGTATACATGATAAATGGAAAATAAGTTAGCCTTGGGGATGAATGCGTACTTGAATGTGAAATGAAGAGGTTCTGTTAAATGGACAATATATAGAGAGGTTCAGATTTGACTTCCACTTCCGGTTTAATGCGCATCTTATTGGTTAATTGCATATATCAAACGCATCTGATTGGTTAATGATCTCCTAATGATAGAGGAGGTAGCGGCATATAGTGGAAGTCAAATCTAAACCCCTCTATTATTAAAACTACAGAGTACAGCACTAAATTTTGTATGTAAATTATATTAATTATAAAGTGTGTTAGAATTGGTACAATATTCCACACAACCTCGTACCCAGGGCTAGCCGCGAATTGAAGGCTGGCGGGCAGGCCCTGGGTACGAGGTTGAATTCCACACACCATAAAACATTGAAAATGGATTGTACCGAATGGCTAACAAGTTCAGATGAAGCAATGAAGGATCATTTCAAAAAAGGGATACATGCTCTAGTCGAGTACCTTACACTAGTTAAAAGTTCCAGAGTTTATATAGAATTTGCCTGTTGTGGTTGGTTTCCAGACTTACCTTGACACCAAACAAACGACACACGGACCTACACCATTCCAATAACAAACTCAATTTCTCAGATTTACAATAAACATCATCTTTATGTTCAACTATCGCTTCTTTGAAATGTGGCTTTCTCTGAATGTAGTATTTTTTCAGAAATGCGATTTCGTCTTTGATCTGTTGTTCATTCACAACCTGGTTCACCTGTGGTAGAAGGAAGGGAGTTGATCATTTCTTGTTGTGTGGTTCTTGATAGTTAAGCCACAGTCATGCAAACAAAAATCAGAATTGATGCACGAGAGTTGATGAGAGTTCTGGCCACGCACGCACAGTATTACCCAGCCAACTCTTATCAAATCTATGCAACTCTTGTTCTCGTTTGATCAAGGCCACCAGAGCTGAGAAAACTTTTGTACAAACTTTCACTGGCCAACTATCATCAACTCCCATACGCATTTGACCAGGGGCAGGGCTTAAGAACGAACAAACCAGCAAACGATCTAAACGGTAGCTATAGTACAGGGTAAAAAATTCGGCGTTATTTTTCACAGTTGCGTTCAGCCAGCAATTTCACAATTTAGATCAGCCAAAAACGTAACTATTATATATATAAAAAATTGTTCAACTTCAAAATTTTGCTCAAGAATTGTGTACCAGTAAAGTGTTGCGAGGATGTCATGTAGCCTGAAATATATATTTGTCTGTTTTAGTACGCAAAACAATGTCAGGTGACTTCAAAAGTTTCAATTTAGCTCAGATTGGCGCTAGGCCACGAGAACGTCACTTAAGAAACACAATATTCCTTAACTCCGGTCTGAATGTCGCAGGCTAACTGAAATTCCAAATTTCATTAAATTATCGGAATTTTTTAATCTTCTGGCTAATACCCAGTAGCGATAAGTTTACGGTAATTATTGACCATGACCCTTTTACCTGGAAATGTAATATAATCATCCAGAGTAGGGACAATGTTTTCTCGCGATGACCATCTACAATATGGCGAGGGTTCACAGAATTCAATTCCTCTTCTGAAAGAACACCTTTCTCTTTTAAAGCATTCAGTGCCACATCTACGTTGTGGATTTTCTGAAAAAGTTTCGAAAGGCAATTATAATTTAATATGTGCGAAAAAGGGAAATGACATCATTTTTCATAACATGATGTATTATTATTTGCTGTGTTGATGTTGTGTACTCAGGTGAATATGATGTTTGTGATGTTACTCTGAGCTCGGTGCTCTGAGTGTGTATCCACACCGGGCAAGCTTGAAAATATGCCTGGCCACGGTGGGAATCGAACCTACGACCTTTGGAATACTAGCCCAATGCTCTGCCAACTGAGCTACGCGGTCAGGTTGGTTCGAGTATATGTGATGATTCCCACCGTGGCCAGGCATATTTTCAAGCTTGCCCGGTGTGGATACACACTCATAGTAACATCACAAACATGATGTATTATTATATATCAATAGTTAAAGTCGCATTTTTCTAGTGTTTTATTGGTTGAGAGCATATCACGTGAGAGTGACGAAATTAGGCTGTCTCCCTCGCAACAGCGCGAGAGGGAGATAATACGTTATCGACCGGCGAATATAAAAAAAAATCACGTGCGCCATCACGTGAAGATGCGACCTTTGGACATGCCTAGTACGTAATTAAAACTTTCGCTTTAAGTAACTGCAGTGTAGCCAGTGTTTAAATTAATATAACGTTTTAACAATAAAATATTTCATGTATTTACGTTCATTTGTTCTTGAATTTGCTGTTTCTTTGACTATTGATATATAATAAAACACTTATTTACTGAGACCTCGGGAAAGCAGTGTGTTTTGTGGACCCTCGACCGTCGATGTTTCCCTCGGCTTCGCCTCGGGAAACATCGACGGTCTCGGGTCCACAAAACACACTGTTTCCCTCGGTCTCAGTAAATAAGTGATAATTATTGTACGCGTATAACGCCTGTAGTATATTCACAAAAACGTCGAATAAAATGTGGGTATGGGACTGGGTGACAGTTTATATCACAGCAGGAAATAATGTATTTGTTTCTGGGATCCTAAAGCCTGGTTTACACTATCAAAGTTTCTGTGATCACAGTAAGAATTTTGCATCGGTAAATTCTAAGTTTTAGTGAAGGTTTGTAAGAAATGTTTGAGGAACTGATTCAACGTTTAACACGAAGTCAGTTCCTCAAACACTTCTTACAAATCCTTCAAAACTTAGAATTTACCCAATGCAAAATCATACTGTGATCACAGAAACTTTGATAGTGAAAACCAGGCTTAAGTTCTTTCTAGGTAACATCAAGGTGCATGACATATCACATACCTGTAGCCTGCTGATTGCAGGAACACGTAAATTAGCAGAGAGACGCCAGTTTTGCGTCAGAAGTTCAATCACTCGCCTATAAATATGATGAAAAGGGGTTGAACGAACGCTGTTAAAAACACTAAGAAGTACAAAAGTGAGAAAAAACTAACTTACGTTACTCGCAAACCATCTCGTAGATCAACTGCCAAGTTTGTAACGGCATAGTCCATTTCATCAAGAGGGGCCTAGACATAGTCCACACAGTATATTAGATTAACGAATTCACAATACACGCTTATGGAAAGCATGGGTACTGTAAATCAAGATCTTGATGGCATCTCATTCGTTTGAATAATAGTTGAAGGGTATTGTATAGATGGAAATTATCGAGTGGAAATTTATATACATTTATTAGACCTTAGTTACCAACAACAGGTGCGGTGCAGCGCTCCAACCATTTCCCTGGCTTGCCCGATTTTAGGGACCGCCTGCCATGCAGGCTACGCTCTAACCAACTGAGCAACAGAGGCCAGTTGTCGAGGCCATTTTATGAAGGCATGTACGTCATCTTAGTTATGAAGTCTCGTTTTCGTGATTTAACTAATAGAGACCTTACGATTTTAGGACGGCAACGGCTACCAATACAATAGATCATTGAAAAGAATTGAGTAATTACAATATTATATGAATAATTTAGACATTGTCCTCGCTCTGTTTACAACGCTAAATCACAGATTTTCACGTCTTGATACAACGGCTGCATTCCAAGCCACAAGTACAACTTTAAACTGGGTTTAGCAGAACTCTTCCCAAACATAAAACCAATGTCTTCAACTTCTAAAACTGTATTAAATTCATACGATTGATAATAAACGACGAACGATCTTTACTACCATTTATTTGAAGGAGTTTGTTTTGGCCGTCGCGTTGCCGTCCTAAAATCGTAAGGTCTCTAATGTCACATAAATGAAAACGAGGCTCAATAGCCAAAATGATCTACTTTCCGGAAGCATGAACCCATGTGTACGCATTATGCAGTAAACTAGAAGTTACTATCGCAAGGAAAATGCTGCCTCACCCCCAAGGAATGAAAGGCAGCATGCGCAATTTGCTGAATAAGGGGCTGTTTATATGATACCGCTTTGCCAGGACAGTCTATGTTGTCAAAGAAATTTCGAACCTGTTCATGAGTAACAGTGTAGTTCAGTAGACCAAGATGTTTCGTCACATCTCCTTCGCCTTTTAAATAATCTCTCGAAAATGTCAGGAGTAATAAGCGGCTACTCTATAAACAACAATAATAAAACGTTTTTAATAAATTAATGCACGGTACGTATACACTTAGCTGTAGCTAAAACTAATTAATGGAGTGATGAATTTCTACCCCGTCGACATTTTCTGACAACATTCGGTAGAGTGTTGAATTGTTCTTGTCACAAAGCTTGGGTGAATGTGCACATTTGGCACCAACAAATGTCCCGAACCGATAAAAAGAAGAAGCAGCCTGTTTAACAATTTGGAAAACTAAAAATGATAGCGTGTAATATAAATACCTTGAATCCAGCGTCTTTGTTGAACAGACACGGATCATGGTCTATCAAACGCGTCAACTTTGCTTTGTCCAGGAACAGAATAAGCAAGAGGAATTTCTTCAAAGTGAACTTCTTAAGTGCTTCATAGTAACCTGAGCGACAAAAAGGTAGAATAGATTGTTTTATACTGGAATACGGTCATTGGCACGCAATTTTTGTCATCTTTGTGTCCCCGGCTATAGTTGTTTAACCTGTTAGCACTTTGGAAAATCAAGAAGCATGTACTAGATTTATTCATATTTTAACTGTTTTCCCTATAGAGATCCAGTAAGGATCATTGCTTACTCTCTATAGTCCAGTGTTATTGAAACTGAAGGAAGAGATTAAAGTCGAGTACCCGTAGAAAATCCGGATCCGATAGTTTTATCAGTTCTAAACTTCTCTCCATAGAGGTTAATTAATTTATGCGATGTCTGGTCCAATCAAACTGGAAACATTTTTCTCATGCACATGCCATCACTCCCAGGCTGACAATCAAATCAATCAATCAAATCAATCAATCTGACAATCTTGCATGCCGAGATATACCATGATCTTGTCTAAACCCTGCTATAAGTTTGGTACAATCATGCCAAGATTGTGATGAAATCTTGCCAAAATCTTGGTAAGATCATGCCAAGATCTTTAGAAAAAAAGTATTCAAATTTTCTTAACACAATGTTCCAAGATCTTCGAAAGAAAATATTGGTAAGATCTTTAGAACAAAAGTATTCAAATTTTCTTTTTAGAATGTTGCAAGATCTGGAAAGAAAATAGGAAAATCTTGGTAAGATCATCGTAAGATCCTGCGGAGAATATTTTTTGAAACGATCTTGGCAAGATCCCATCAAGTCAAGATCTGGTAAGATCCTGCCAAGACGTTCAACCTGGGAGCTGCCACCATAGACGGATTTTCGTATTTTTTACTGGGGTGGTGCCAGAAATTTTAGGGGTGGGGGGGTGAGCCGTGAGCAGGTGACTGAAGCAACACAAAGTGTCACCAAATCCCAGTAAGGTCTATATTCTAGGGGTGGAGCACTAGAGCAGCGAGGGGGAGTCTAGAGAGCAGAAAACAAAGTATCCCTGGAAAAATTTGAAAAAAATCATGATTTCTAGCTTCGAAAAAAAGTTTTTTGAAGTTGTCATATCAATGGATTTGGCATGTCCGATTGTCTGTTGAGACTTGAGAGAGTTAAAGTTAAATGAACCTGTAAAAGTGTAAACCCAATAGGCCAATACACAATATGCTTTTACTTTTATAAAGTCATTGACATTGTATCGTTTGAATCCGAGTACAATTTATAATGCAACTCCAATGTAAATAATATTTGGGGTGTAAAGATTAAATCTAGGCAAGTCTATTTCCTAAGAGAATTAAAAACTAAAAATAATGTTTGTAAAAATTCCAAACGTTCCTTGCAAGCAAGCTATTTGCATGACAAGGCACTGAAAACTCTATTCAGGGGAGATAATAGAGTTTCCAAACTTTACAATTGCTCCAGTAAATCAGTGAATGCAAGCGAGGAGCGATTAGTTTCAGAGTATTGCACTGTTTTTTTTCTTTTTGAGTGTACTCCTACGTTTATTTTGTATCTATGCCTGCCACTTCACACTAAGTGCACTAAACATTACACGTGTGACCTCCTAAAACGCCATCTTGTCGTGCCAGTTAAGATTTCAAGTATAGTCATAAACGAAGCACAAGTATTATAAAAATTAGAATTTTTCCTAAAATTTACCAGGGCGATAAGCTTCGGCCACTGTTGCATGACGATATTCTTTACAAATGTCAGGGTTGGCCAAAAAGCGTTTCTTCAAGAATCGTTTCAGACCAACGAAGTCGTTGTTTGACTGCAGTGGTAAGACCTCGCCATAGATTGTCTAAAATAAATGTTGATTTGAAATTCCCATAACCAAAGCATAGTAAATTGATTATATATACAATAAAAAATACAGATTTATGTAAAAAAAATTCAACTAAACAAATATTGGATTATATACTGTAGCTATATCATTTTCAAACTTCAATTCCTAACGTCTAAAATAAATGTTGATTAATTTTGAGATTCCCATTAAGCAAAACACATTAAATTGACTATATGTATACAATAAAAAATACAGATTTATGTCAAACAAATTCAACTTTAGAAACTAAACAAATATTGGATTATAATTGCTTAACTGAGAATATGAATTCTAGCTGAGTATAGCTATATCATTTCCAAACTTCAATTCCTAGCGGTTCAGAGTAAGAGCCAACCAAACTCTCTAGAAAACCCACGATGTTTGGTGAAAGCATTCCTCTTATATACCGTTGTCAACGCAGGCGTTGTTGCAATCTCCTCTTTTAAAAGTTAAGGAGTATTGAAAAAGCAACGGTCAGGAGCAACGGCGTGGCCCTCTAGATTGGTACAACGTATACAGCAAACGAGCAGCCATGTAGGTCTTATATTGTAGAAATAGTTCTTTTAAAAATAACTGTAAATTTACCTCAAGACCAATGCGGAGCCACAATGTGTTATAAGATAACAACATTTTTACCATTGTCTCTTTGATGCCTGGAAATAAAAAGATGAGATCATTTATGCTGGGAGAGAAACAGGTCTAACTATTTCATCATCGCAGATGACCAGGCTACGAAATACCGTTCAAAAATGCGGCTAATGTTGAGACCAGCATTTTTACGCCAAAAACCTGAAGTTTCAAGAGTATCGCCCGTATTCTAAAAGCTCACTCACACTCACACTCAATGAGTGGAGGTTCAATCTAAGCTTCTCTTGAGTGTCAATGCTGTTTTTGAATAGCTGGAGGGTGAGTAGTCACCGAATAAGGTACGACACTAACCCTCCAGCTATTCAAAAACAGCACTGACACTCAAGAGAAGCTCAGATTGAACCTCCACTCATTGAGTGTGAGTGAGCTTTTAGAATGTGGGCGTATACAGGTATCTTCAAATTGGAAACCGCCAGAAACGACCATCATGGCAAGACCAGATTTTGGTGCAGGTACTGGGGGAAAATATTTAAGGGAGGTGCAGACGTCTTGCCTACTTTAGAACGTTAGGGCTTATAACCTCCGCAAACTATACCATTTGCGCAAACTATAGTATCAGAATAAAAAACCCAACATTTTACCTAAATCTTGATGGAAATGTTTATCTGCTCGTATCGACAATCTATTCTTCTCCACTTCTCCTTCGACTGTTTTGGCTACAAATGCGACAGGTTGTGACTGATACAGTAGACATGCACTGCGTCGTAGTCGCGCCATCTTTCTTTTCGCCGTATAAGCACGCAATGATAACACTTCTCTTGTTGGCGCGAGGTGCTGTTGACGACCCGTTGTCTCATGGTTGGAAAATATGCACGAACTTGTCGATTGAACTAAATAAGTTGAAAATTTCATTCAACAGATTTGACCAACAAACGTTTCATATCCACATAATTAATATAATGAGGCAGCATACGCAATCGTTAACTAGACAGAGGTTGTCAAAACTAGGCATGCAATAAATATAAAGAGTTATAACCTTCAATATCCATTTAAATTAATAATAGTTTCCGCAGGGTGCATGAAAAAGTTTCGGACCACGGGACCATTGGTCCAAGAATTAAAGGAGGTAAAATTTGGCTTCAAGTTAAAGATAGGCAATTTATCTGAAGGTAGCATTCCAGTTATATTCATTTCAGTGGTGTAGACACATTACAACCCAATACTTTATTGCATACAACGCCAATAGATTATTGGTTACAACGTGCGGAACGGCTGGTAAAAGGCGCGCGCACCCTTCAAAGGCGCGCGCACCCTTCTGTTGTCGCGTTGTATAGACCCGCTATATCAGCCTAGACCTAGGCCTTCTATTTTTATTGTGTTTTTTTTTTAATATTCAGCGCTTTTTCACATGAAAAGACTGGGACTAGGTGATTTGGGGGCGGGGCGGAGGATGACGCAAGCGAAAAAATAAAAGGCCTAGTGGATTTCCCAACAACAAGGTAGGGATGGGCGATACCAGCTTTTTCATTCGATACGATATTTCCTCGATATTTGCAGTTTTTTTTCGATATCGATACCGATATCGGTATTTTCCCAACTCGAAGAACCATAACAACAAAAAGACTATTTTTAATCATTAACAACGGCAACAATATAAACATTGAATAATATATGTCAGTGATTGCAACCAACATAACCAGAAACTCCCATCCTGCCCGTGGACCATTATAGCACCATAGAAAATGAACTATTTTTCTAGTATTTACGCCTATTTAGGCTTTTTGTTGGCTTTTTGGTATCATTTTCATGATGATGCCGCTGACCAAAATGAAAAAATAGCGCAGGCGCAGAAATATCGAAACATCGATATTTCTTGCCAGTATCGATACTTTTCTTCAAAACCCTGGTATCGATAGTATCGAGTATTTGGTATCGATATCGGCCCATCCCTACAACAAGGCCAAAACTGCCCTGAAACTGCCCTGGTTGCGAAATGCCCAATTATTGCGTTCTCAAACAGAATTATTTGCAACTTAACAGCGAATTTAAACCGATACAGGTAAAATAAACTCATTTATAGTATAAACTTACTATTTTTATTTGTATACACGCCTAGAAAATCGGTTTTTTTATCATAAAGTTTGAAGCAACACTATTATTATGTTGCGAATTAGGTCAAAATGAGTCAAAATATTACTACAAAATAGAACTTAGTCTAGTCATAAAATTTGCTTTAGTTGTTAGTTTCTCATCAATTTCGGATCACAAAGTTATGGAGGCAAATGACCATTGCGATAATTACCAGCCGAGTATAAAAGGCCTAGGTCTAGGCTGCCGCTATATATATATTAACGGTCTCTACTGTACCTTCCGTAGTTAGTTCATCAGGAGGAGTCAAAACATAATTGAGCCATTGAACGAAACCTAAAATTTAGCAAAATAAGAGAAGATGCAGGTCATCTGATGCTTTATTTCAGCGTACATGTATATTTTCAATTAAACATTAGAAAGACTTAAGACCGTATTTTCAATTAAATAATAGAAAGACCAAAGTTTCGAAATGAACAGACGTACAGATATACATAAACTAAAGCAACGGGTTAAACTGAACCCACAGTTATAGGCTTAGCGCTTAGTCCGGCCCATGCAGGACTTTGAATATTTAGCGCATGCTTAAATCAGAAATAGTCCTCGCAATTTTCAGGATAAATCTTCGAGGCAAAAAATTGCCGTCGATACAGTATTTCCAAGTTCGGCGGCAATTTTTTTGTTTTGTTTCAAAATGACAATTTGAAGATACATCAGCATAATAATGTATTTACTTGCATGTTGTTAATGTCTTTGACAGAGATTAGAACCGAATGTTTTTTACAGCATTCTCTTGACTCTACTGATGATAGAAAACCTTGTTCCACTTTCACATACATTGTGATTGAGACCAGCGATCATGCGAAGGCGACAAATATTCCGGTCGCGGCGGCAAAAAATTACCGTCGAAAATTGCGAGGATTAAATAATAGGGAGTTTAAGCTTCGCGTTTCCGGGAACGGCAAACGACATGCATGGTTCGAACTTTCTTCGCAAAATTTTCGTTGAATGTTTTCGTTTCATATTTTCTTTCTTGTTTCGAAAGAATAATCATGCATTGCAGTTTTAAAACAGCAAGTTCATTTACTCTTTATTGCCTCGGATACCGTAAAAATGTTCTTTGCCTGGCGTTTGCCATTTGCCGTATAACGCAAAGCTTAAACTCTCTAATTTGCGATCCGTAAATCTGCCCGGGCGAATATACAGAATTTATCTGACGTAATTGTAATTGAATAATTGAAAAGTATTCCCATATACCTCTCTCCTGTTTCTCCATCCATTTTTCATCGTAGTACATATTCTTTGCGGCATAAGGTAACGGATGTCGCGGCAAACTTCGTTCAGTCGTCAAGTGTTTTGTCAGCCTTAGTCGTGAGGGAGCCACTCCTTTCGACGCAACTTTTGCTTTGAATTTCCGCGATGTGTTATGCTTCCCTGTTTATAATATACCAGAATATAAATGAACTCAAAGACCTAACCGGGTGTAGCTGGGACCATGCGATTCCGGTGCAGTGCTCTAACCACCGTATGTGGTTGTATCGAGGCACATTCACGCGGTGTGTTATTATTCAAGATTTTTAGCTACACGTCCAGGGACGGTTCTAGGCTCCTCTGCACGAGGGAGCCTTCCTGCCCACTCTCCTCTGAAGTCTGCAACGCTACTATCCCAACATTTCCATTATTTGAGATGGCCGAATCTGCATGTTCGCCGTTCTGTTGCGTTAAAGGCACAATTCAGCCTTTTGAACGATGGTTTTTAAGGCGCATTTCAACCCTTTTAATTGAAAAAACTAACTAGGAAAATCAATTATACACAATTCAAGATCAGTAAACTCAATGTTTTTAACAATAAAAATGTTTTAAAATGTTAAAAACATTAAGTTTGCCGATCTTGAATTATGCTTAATTGATTTTCCTAGTTAGTTTTTTCAATTAACAGGGCTGAAATGCGCCTTAAAAACCATCGTTCAAAAGGCTGAACTGTGCCTTTAATACGTTTTACATTTTCTTTTGTCTAATATGAAGTTTATTTCGGCTTTTTATCACGTATGCGTGAATGGACAGTTGTTGTAGTACAGTACAGTATATTTGAAAATACGGCTGTATAACAACCTCGACATGCTCACATATTTAACTATGATAAAGCATTCTGAATATTTTGACAAATCAATGAAATTGACGTTTCAAGAAATCGACACGCGCTAACAGTGGAAGTTCCGCTAATCGCTACAGGCCGTTCCAGCTTTCAATTTATGCGCGCATGGGGTGACGGGAAGTAAGGTATCATCTTGCTGATTATGCTGAAAATTTTCCAATAAAAACTGCCAAAACAACCGAAATATTTCAATATTTACAAATATAACTAACTATAAGCTATCACTCCGTGTTTACACGGCCACCATTTTTATTTTTTTTTAGCATAATCAGCAGTATGATACCTTACTTCCCATCCACTCTGCCCGCTGCATATATTACTAAAAGCTGGAATCGGTCTATTCGAAAAGCAGAATATGTATGGTAAAACAGATTTTTTAGGGCGGTTGCTGGACTTCTCTGGGGGGGGGGGGTGCTAGACACCACTAGGTAGGTGGGGTGCGCATCCCCACGGTATAGATCCGTCCCTGTGCACGTACGTCACTACTCCAATGATTATATTGGGATATATTGTAGACTTTCTACAAACCTTTAAGTTTACTTTCTGACTTTATGATTGGTTTCACCACTGTAGCCGCACTGTTCCCTAGTGCTAGTGAAGACTTTGGTTCAGGTAGGCCTGCATTACTCTCTCGCAGAATGCGTTTTGACTTCATGCTGCTTGTTGATTGTTTGTCCATCTTTGAAATCTTGCGTTTTTGAGATGAGAACGCTGCACCTTTTCTGATATCTTCTGGTAACATTGTTTTCATCTGTCAATGGACAGTTTATTCAATCCGAATTATTTTACTCTCTAATTCAATTATTTTTGCTTATTATTGAGTGATTCTTGACTGTGTATTTTATAATGGGTTACATTGAGGGAATCAATTTCACAAGTATATATTAATTAAAAGTAACACATTATATGAGATAGGGTGTGGTCTTAAAATGGGTGCAACTATTTTGGGCGTGGTTGAGGAAACCATTTTAATTGGATGTTCATTTTGTAGTGTAAGGTACAGTATATATAATAAGGGGCTGTTCATATGGAAGCTAAGCTGGCCCACTAACACTTAGAGAGACAGCCCGGTAAGAGAGATCTCGCGGTGTAGTTATTTTAATTTAATAATAATAAAAATTACTGTGTGTTTAAAACCATTTGTATTTGGACAAGGCAGCTGGCCCGGTTGCCGAGTTCTCGCTTGAAAGAGGCAAGATCTCGCTTACCGGATAAAAATTTCTCCATATAAACACTCACAAGCGGGCTGGCCACCGCAAGCTATTTTTAACAACTGTCAAAAAAACAAAATTGTCCCGGCAAGCGGAACGAAATTTTCTCGTATAAACACAAGAGAAATTCATCCTGCCTACCAGGCTGTCTTGCTAAGTGAGCTAGCCTGGCTTCCATATAAATAACAGCCCCTATGTGGGCCAGCAGCAGCCCTAAATAATGGCTAATGCTGTAACATCACGGCTCCGCTGAAATATCCCATTAGTAAGAATTGCACAGTTCCTTTGGTAAGCATTAATTGTGAAAATTTTCAGGGGGGATTCAAGTTTGCAGAAAAAGGGGAGGGGTGATTGCAGGACAAAACTATTTGTTGATGGCCTTCAGAAGTACATAATTATACAGTTGCAACTCAGTGGGTTAATCAAACTATCTGCCCATGCACCCTGTTAACCCTTTAAATGGCAATGCGCCAAGATGCGCCCTACTTTATTATTTTACTCTATCTAATATGCCAGAGGATTTTACTTGTCAAGTAGAGAGTGCTGCAACTCAGTGGGTTAATATTGATCAGTTCTAAATATTTGGAAGGTGCATACACATTGGTAGTATCAGAGTCCTTGCCTAAATTGAGCCTGCAGACATGAATGTTCAAGAGTACTTTATAGTCTGTCGCACCAGGAAAGTGCGGTTAAATATTTCATGCTGTTTTTTGATAGTATACTTAACCGTTATTCAATGATATTAAATTTTAACCACAATCTAAATACTGTAACATGTGATTTCTATCATATATAAACTATTCAACCACTTAATTCCCTACATTCCCAACCCTTAGTAAGTTTATAAGTTTATACATGTCAACCTAATCGTCACCTCTGATCCTAATGCTAATTTAACTCTGACCCTAATCCTACCCTGATCCTAACCCGATCCTATTAGGCCCAGGTCACACTACATAATGATATGATAACTTGTATACACACACTGTTGGTCAAAAAAATTATGTTGGTTTCGACACCTCAACAAAAAATTATCGTTTGACGATAGCGATTTTAAAATCACTCACCCGAGCGATTTTTTTTTCAGCTGGACGATAACAATAAATTTTTTACCAATCACTTCACAGCATGTATACAAGTTAATGTATCTTTATTGTTGTGCAGTGTGACCCAACCCTAATCCTCACCTCTGATCCTAACTCTGACCCCAATCCCACTTCTGATCCTAATTCTACCCTGATCCTAATCCTCACCTCTAATCTTAACTGTGATCCCAATCCTCACCTCTGATCCTAATTCTATCCTGATCCTAACTCTGATCCTATTAAATCCTACCCTGATCCTAACTTCAATTCTATTAAATCCTAGCCTGATCCTACCTTTGGTTTTACAGGCTTAGCTGCCATATCAACAGCATATCCGAACACAATCAGATTCAAACGATTGAAATCGCCAAGATACAGCGTAACCAGCTCTCTATAACTCCCTTCAGCATTTGGCTTCCACATGATTGGCAAATCCATTTCACTCATGCCAGGTATTATAAATTCTACTGACAGTTCCAAAACAGAATTTTGAAATGCCTCACCATGTTCAACTGGCTGCAAAATTGTAAATCCCTTGCTTTCTGGCCATTTATCCAAGTGTAAACTTTGTGCAATGCTCAATGGATTCTCGATTACTACTCGCTTAACTTTACTGCAACCAATTTTAACCTTTCCAAATGAAATTCGTGGAGTCGTCGCGAACATGGTTAAGCTCAATCGCGGGCTTTCCCTTGGCGAGCTAGATCGTCGCTCTGTTTGCGGCGTACGTGGCCCATACCATTTTCCATGGCTGGGTGTTGAAGGCACTTCGATATTTTCTTTTGTAGACACGTTGAAATTTCGCTCAGGAGACCACATAATCGACAAACTTGTCTTTCAAAATATTCAGCTTGGGTTTTCGTTAAAATAAACGCAATTTCACGATACAATTCTTAGCTCGTGACAGATCACAGAAGCTGCATCGTTCTCAAAGACCCAAATCACATATCTAAGAACTACTAACAGTCAAATTTCTGCCAAACATTTAAAAATAACGAAACAAATTAACAAAATAGTCCTTCGTTGCCAAATGTTCTTATCCTTTCATTCCTTTGTTTGAAATAAATTTTCTCGTTTACAGTTCAAATTTTGTTTCGAATTGTGCAACCAATCAAAAACCGTTCTCTGCCGATTCTCACCAATCAGAAATGAGCACTGAACTCAATATAACGAAATCTATACATAGGTGTCGCAGGCTCAAATGGTTTCACGCGATACTTCATTACAATAACAATGAAATTTATTAGAACTGAGGGTTGAAGCGAACGTAATCAACTGAGCACGTAGGCGCGAGGTACTTGAACAAAAGAAATGATGGACATTCATAATGAATATACCGTTTATTGATTTAATGAATATAATCTTTATATCTTAGTAAGCTTAATACACAATATATAATAATTTAAAATAAATAATTAGCTAGAAAAATCCCAATGATTTCCATATATATGAAACCATCTTTCATTATTCACAAACTGGTATTTACAATCAATAATGCGTACGACTATATATTCCAAAAAATTATCCAATATTTACCTCTATTCTTGCTTTAATATTTACTTACTAATATTTAATACTTTATTAGAAAAGCACTGTTTTGCTCTTCCATACTTGAAATGTATGCAAACGAGTAAATCTTATTACGTGGAAACATATGGAAATCCAATATAGCTAAGAAACAATGTTTCTGCATTCCAACAACGTTTCCCAGTTTGTCCACCAGAAACATGGCCAGGAAACAATGTTTCCTGGTTTGTCCACCTTTGGGAAATATAGCTCAGTGGAAACAATGTTTCCTGGTTTGTCCACCCTTGGGAAACATGGCTAGGAAACAATGTTTACTGATTTGCACACCATTGGGAAACACGGCTAGTTTGCGCACTCTTGAGAAACATGGCTAGGAAACAATGTTTCCTAGTTTGCCCGCTCTTGAGAAACATGGCTACGAAACAATGTTTACTGATTTGCACACCATTGGGAATCAGACAATTCGCAACAATCTTTCCCAGATTGCCTTGGACAACAAAATGAATTTGTTTGATACTTTGATGATAGTTTACATCAACCTTTACCTATATGGTAAAGTTCCTTTTGGTACGTTCGCGTAACATATAACTGATATCCTAATCTGTTTGTATCTGAATATCTTTGGACTGTCACGTTTTCGATCCAAGCCCAGGCACATTTCCGCGTTTTAAAGTCAACTTGATTTCTTGCATACTATCTTCACTGCTACTCGTATCCTCCATGACGTCATACACACCCGAATCACGGAAATCCTTCATGTTTGTCTGAACTGGCAGGCAAAAAAGATTAGTTAACGAAGCCAGAGAAGCCTTCCTTTCATGACCCTTGAACAAACTGCTTCCGGGTTTCGTCACCGGAAGTGACGTCCTACGCATGAGTTTTGGTCGTTTGTCGGCGTCTTGGAATTTTGTCTGACGGCTGCTGAATTTCGGAAATGTCTTTCGACGGCTGTTTCGCAAACTTGACCTGAAAGCGCGCTGTTTTGCTTCGACGTTTGCGCTCATTACTAAAAGGATGAGAAATTAAACTAGTTATAGTAGCTATAAGCTTAGTGAATGAACCTTTCCCCTTATAAATAAAATTTTGATCTAGGCAAAAATTTCATCACAGCTTGAAAGAGCATCACAAAATTAGTAATATTCCAAAGTTTCGTTGCGAAATGTTGTAAAATGCGGATAATATAGCCTTGCGAAGTTTGCCGTTTTTCAGTCATTTTGTATTACGCATGGGAAATTGACAGCCCAATCGGGTGTTGGGGCATCAATTTCCCGTTTGTAATACAAAATGACTGAAAATTGCAAATTTCGCAGGGCTATATTATCCGCATTTTACAACATTTCGCAACGAAACTTTGGAATATTACTAATTTTGTGATGCTCTTTCAAGCTGTGATGAAATTTTTGTCTACACTTGTCTAGATCAAAATTTTAGTTATAAGGGGAAAGGCCCATTGTTCGAATTCTTTACCGCCTGCTTCAGAAGGTGGAAGCATAGTGGAAGGTAGGGTATTAGTAAATATCAATAGAGCTCACTGAGTTCCAGATGCATCAATAAAAATTCAGCTCCCATCGAGTAAATCAAGTTTACCTTGCTTTAATAATTCCTCAACAGATTTTTCAACTAGACGTCTGTATTCATTATTCCTGTTGATAACAATCTTTAAGTGTTCAGGAATAACACTGTCTGCTGACTCCACCAACTTTATAAAAGAAACAAATTCTGACTGTGAAGGGATAGCAATACGATAATGCATATTTATTCTTTGAATTCTGTCATATCTTACCCTAAGGCAGTTCCCATCAATGTTCTTATGTATGTAGGGAAGAAAAACTGTCTTCAGCGTCCCCATGTTGAAACTGTAGATGATTTCCCTCAGATCATCCTCAAATTTCTGAAACAAAATTAAAGTAACAAATGTTGTAAAATTTTTGCCCTGGATATTGGTGGCGAAGTAGTTAATGCATGCCTCTTGCACCACTCCGACTGTGATTCGATTCCTGCAGTGCGCAGTCTGATTGCAAATTTGCCTCGGTCGCATGTGGAGGAACACTTCCAGTTTGAGTCTACCAAACACCGCAAGTTTTTTCCAGGTACTCTTCTGAAGTGAGATATATTTACTGGTTTGGGGGGGGGGGGGGATTGCGCACCCTCTTTACCAAGCCGTTAGTATCAAATCAAAGTTTGAAAGAGCACTACCCTGTCATCATTACGATAATAATATAATACCATAGCTACCTCGAAATCCTTTGTCTCGCGAGATGCAATTAATGACTAATTTACCTCATTGCTAAAACAGAGGGACGATTAGAAACTAATATCATCCCGCTCCTCATCTTTATGCATAGCCTCTTATATTGATGTTCAAAAAGACATGAAAAATCAACCGTAACCTCATTAACGAACATCCCAATAGTCATTAGTATAAAAAGCAAACGCGCCTTTTCATTTCAACTTATACAATCGAATGAAACCGTTTCATTGTCTTGGTAGCTATGATATTACAAAGTGATAGCATGGCATTACGGTCGATTAAATCTCTCTTACTAAACCTCTCTCGGCTTTCGGGTACATTTAATCACTAATTGACCTGAATGCCATGCTATTACTTATAATAATGCCCCTGGACAATGTACAGGAGTAATGTTTTGCCCACTCTACAGAGCACTGCTGTGCGTTGCTCCAAATGATTGTGAACTTGGTAAACGGTCGCACCCCGAAACATGACCATTGATGAGCACCCCTATACCTACCAGATCTGGCTAAATCCAACCCTGGACCGCTATAGGGTGTGCTTAACAGTTCAGGACTGATAAAGCTATCCTGTATATAAATAAAGTTAATTTTGTTTGCTACCTTCCCCATTCTTTTTATCAAAGTAGTACACCTTTACATACATTCGCAACTTCGTCATCAACATCTTCAATCAAGGCTCGTAGCTGCTTGTGTTTCTGTTTTCCTTCGATACCACGGGAAACTTCCAGAAATCGTTGTTGGAATGTATTCACCAACGCATCCATGACATGCCTGAGTCTCTCCCGCGCTTGTGACATTATCACAGTAAAGTCAAACGAACTTAGATCATATTGAAGAGATGCTAATTCTTTCTCCATTGAGTCAAGAAATTGATAAGCAGTTTCCATTTCTGATGGTGTTCGTGCTAACATATCAAGCGAGTCGATATACTATAAACAGGATGATTTGAAAAAAAATCATTTTGTAGATGTCCTTTGAAGCATAATTTTAAAACACATGTAAATACATTTTCGCACTTAAGGTAATTCCGCAGTAATTGTTCCCGAAATGAGAATGTGCTGAAACTTCCCCAAGCATGGAGTTTATGATATACTTAAAGTAAAATCGCACAATAACGTCGGGGTCACCGAACTCGTTAAGAAGGTATGACAATCACAATACACCACCTTTACCCCAATATGGCGCCATCTTGACGCTCATTATGAGTAACAGCAAAATCACAACAGCCCGATATTTATTGACGTTTTTAGCGCGGATTTTGCTTTAGTAAACCTATCTTGTAATTATTTTTGAAAAAATATTGTGTTTTGAGCAAAATGAAACTACTAACGTGTACAATTCTGATCCACAAAAGTCTTTTCCACATTTCTTTACATATCTTTCTTTGAGAACATGCATTGATAAAGGATTTTTTTTTCAAGATCCAGAAATGATTTTTCTTTTAATTTCGGATATGAAATGTAAAATGCATTAAAGAAATAAATTATCAGTTAAAAAACGGGGGTCACCGATCTTTTTAGGGAGTTGTGGCATTAAAACGTGAAATACAAGTAAATAAATATACTACAGACACAGGGAACCCTAGCTACGCTTTTGTATGCCTTTTTTGAAAACATTGATTTTAACGTAATTCTTTGCACGAATGTAACCAAAGATGTGTTGAAGTAACATAAAATTGTCATAAAATGATTTGTTTTAAACGGTACGTATAGTCGTATAATGGATGAAATTATAAGTTATACGATGTGCGCAGTAAAAGTGCGCAATGCAAAAGTGCGGAATTACCTTAAGAGGCAATTATTTTTTATGACGAGTCTTGTAGATGGAAATTAGGTCCGTGGCAGGAATCGAAAATACAAATACAAATGAATAAAATAAATAAAAAATATTCAAATGTCTCACCATTTGTACCGGTATTTCGACCTCCTCTCGTTGTTCAACATCAATTCCAATTTCGACAACATTTCTTTGGTAAATATTCCGCACTTCGCATAATGCATCGAACATCTTTATACAAAGGGATATAGACTGTAATTAAATAAAGCTAACTAAACTAACTGGAGTAACTATCAATTAAACATTGAAGTCTATTGTAGAAGGGTTATTTCGAGCATATATCAAGATTCTGTTCAGGGGCGTAGGAAGCTTCTAAAAGTTGGGGGGGGGGGGAGGCAGGCTTTGAGGGGCACTTTTCGAAAAAAAAAGGGCATCTAAAAATTTTTCCCCGCGAATGTTGGCGACGGGGGGGAGGTTATCTCAAAAAAATTTTCCGGACATACCAAAAAATTTTCCAGATATATCACATTTCTTCCTAAACATGAAAAAAATTTTCCGGATATACCAAAAAATTTTCCGGATATATGATATTTTTCCCGGAAATGAAAAAAATTTTTCCAGGAATTACATAGATTCAAGTTTTCAAAAGTGCCCTTTGGGCAAAAAATGCAATCTTAATGACATTTTTCTGACGCAAGAAAAGGGCACTTTGCTCCCGGAAAAAGGGCACTTGGCAAGCGAACTACAATTTTCAAGTAGCCAGTAGTTTGATTACTTTTTTAAAACAGTAGTTGTAGTTATAGCGAACTACATTTTGCCTAAAAGTAGCCAAGTAGTTGACTACTTTTCAAACAGCGAATCGCTATTCGCTACTTTTTAAAATTGTTAGCAACTTGATAGAATAGCATGATATTGAGACACGGTTTGTTTAAAATCAATACTCAATTGCACTCCTGAACACTGTAGTGCTTACAAAAATGTTGCTTTGTGTTTACTGTTGCGACTCGTAAGTCGATTTGTTATAGATTACATTACTGTCTGAGTTAGTAGATGCTCCAAATATAGTAAAACTAAAAAATATAGTGTAGCGAAATAGCGAAATAGTTCGCTACATTTTTTAAGCAGTAGCTGTAGTCAGTAGCGAACTACCTTTGTTCAAAAGTAGCAGTAGTTGTAGCTGACTACATATTTTTGAAGTAGCTGTAGTTATAGCGAACTACAAAAATTTTGTAGTCAACCCATCCTTGTACGTAATACTTCAAATGCGACTATGAGGACTGGACTAGATTTCAAATCCGCGCAATTTGATCATGTCCGAGGCGAATCCGAGGACTGGATCAAAATGGGAGGGTGACTTGAAATTCAGTCCAGTCCGAATTGGAGGATTTAAAATGACATCTCATATCACTATACTTAAAGTGAGTTGAGTTAATTTTGATCCAGTCCAAGGACTAAATTAATTTTGATCCAGTCCTAGGATTGGATCAATATACTTCATCAGGTATCCAGTATTATCATGTGAGCAAAATAAAGCACTATGTTCGGCTAATTTACTCATGAATTATTAATGATATAGGGTTCTATTACCGGTACTTAACCGAACTGCGTGTCATATATGAGTTCTGTATATCAGGATTGAAATTTATACGTACGGACTTTTCCAAAACTGGGAAAACTTTCTGGGCATATCTTCTGGCTTCTGCTAACGCGTCATTGAGAAATGTCTCGGTTTTGCCTAAAGACAACAAAGATAAAACAATTAATACTAGACATCCGTTTAAACACAAGAAAACACTTCAAAGCACAACTACAATTCATGAGTCTCAAGTTAATCTAGTCCAAAAGATATTTATATGTAAGTAAGATTACGTCATTGGAAGGGTAATAATTGCCACTGGAGAAAAAACGATATCATTGACATATCGGCTTTTGTCACCCTGTTACCGCCCTGATAAAGGCACAAGTATGTGATATACAGCCAATTCAACAAAGGTTGTCCTTTGCAAACCTTAAACTCTATAAACCAGGCCTCTAAACTTTGAACTCTAAGCGTGCAAGGCTTATCATAATGGGAGCACAGGTTTCAAGCTTAGTAGTTACATATTGCAGCTATTTGTGCATGAATTGTTCTCGTATATGAGGAGATATTTGCCATGTCTCTGAAATAGGCCCCATATACGACTTCTAAACTGATTAAATATGCTCCCATTATCTTTTGAACGCTTTAATAGACAATTTTAAGAATTTATTGTAATTAGTTATGTCGTTCTAATTTCAGTGTTTAAGAATATTATACCGTTCATTTCCCATTCAACTTTGCGTCGCACCGCGACAATCTCTCGTTCTTTTTCACGTATCAATGTTTCAACTTGCAACCGAATTTTTTCTTTATCTCCTTGCAAGGTCCTCCAAAGTGGAACGACAAGATTCATTACTGATGTATCCAAATCTTTTAAAACCTTCCGCGAGAAATTTGGCAGAAAGAGGTATGAATAAATACTTGTGTTAGACATACTAGATGACTCTTGTTCTGGGATCAATTTCTTGGGGTTTCAGCGTGCTGCGATCGAATGCCCCCCCC